CTTCTTATAACTCTTTGGAAAAAAATAATTTTTCTTTAACTTAAGTGGGCAGTATCACCAAGACTAAGGGAGAGAAACAATAATAGTCATAAAACAAACATTACTAGACATAGTATGTCAAATTATTAAAGTAGTATTAATATTTCTTTAGCTATAATACAGAATATAATTTGAGAAATAAAGATATAACAAACAATTTTCTAAAAATTGATTAATTAATATTTTATTACATTTTTAATTTTATTGTAAATAATTTTTCAAAACAATAAATAAAGGTCTTAAAATTTAGTATAAATCTTTTTATTTATCATTTTACGCAATGCTTTGGAGATGCAACGTTGTCATTTTTCTGTTGACTGGGTGATACTGCCCCCTTAGTCATTATTTAGTATTCATTTATAATGATTTAAAATGATTCGGCTATCTAAATAGGGTTAACTTAAATAAGGGCTCAACTATTAGAGTAAGGGACATAAGTTATGAAAGTGGTTTGAACGTGTGCATATGTTTCACACTGCAGTTCGTGTAGTGCTTTAACTTAAGCAACAGCGTGGTTTAGTGACTGAAGAATAATCACCGCTGTATTGTTTTTTTTTTTTTTGCAGCAACGCAATCAATGTTCACGAAAACAAAGTCTTCCGGAATAAATGATTTCACTGTTGTTGTTTTTTTATGGTCGGAAATTGGGTCCCCTACAGGTGCGGAACTACAGGGGGGGGGGGGGGGGCACGCCGTTTAGGGGCCCATCGCCGACCATAATCAATTTTTTAAGTTAAAAAAAACTTAATTTTCTTTCATTTTTGACTTGATGGTTGTTTTGTTAAGAGAATAATGTAGCTGCGGTTGCATTATCTTTATTCTGTCGACACCATATCACGCTCGTGTATACTTATTCTTTTTCCCTTTGTTTTTAAACCATTGTGGAAGATAGGCAAACGTTTAAATCACTACCATGACTTATTTCCCTTTTTTAACTAGTCAAATAGGGGTGCTCCTACTCATAAGCTCATTTCAATAGATTTGTACTAAACAATTCAAAAGCAATTACTTCTCTTAATTATTTTTTAAAATACACACTAAATGACATAGTATAAAGAGGAAATGTATTTAAAATTAATAATATAAATACAAAAAGACATAAAAATAAACATAACACGAGAAACCATTACATATACAAAGCTTTGATATTTCATTTTCTTTTGACGACTAGAAAATTTGATTTATTACGACCGATATAAAATAAAACAGATTTTCAAAAACACTAATGCACTCACACTCACACACATGATATGTTGTCGTAATTTGTTTTAATTGAAAAAAAAACAAAGACATTTTTTTTTCAAAAACAGATCAGGCCAGGAATGAGTATATATATATATATATATATATATATATATATATATATATATATATATATATATATATATATATATATATATATATATATGGGGGGCCAAATTTTTTTTTTTGCGGGGTGGCCCTTTTTTTCTAGTTCCGCCACTGGTCCCCTAATGGTCCGCCCTCGCATTGCAGGACCTGGCGGCATAGTAGTTCCGCCTATGAAGTGACATGTACACAGAGTTTCTTTCAATCATCTTTTTCTTGTGTGGGGGGGGGGGGCAGAATCCCTTCCACCTCCATCCAAAACCAAATTGAACAAATATTACATATTTCATTTAAAAAAGTATATACTTCAACTAGTTTTCGCTGATCCCCCCCTTCCGATATTTTAGTCGTGTGTCCCCCCCCCCCCCCCCCCGAGTAAATTGTTTGAAAGAAACACACAATATAAAAGAAAAATTGCTAACCAATTGAGAAAGTCTTCGTTTTTTAGTTCATTAAAAATTATTTAGTCACTGTATGGCCTTATCCGGGATGGAATGACATTACCCAGCCTCTATTGTTGTTTTCTGATTTGATTATTATTTTTTCACATATTTTGTCCGATGGTACATTCAGAAAAATAAAGCGGGAATGATCTCCCCTAAATGTTCTCGAATATTCTTAAATAAGAATACGGGGATGACAACTCGGGATATAAGTCATGATTTTTAATCCATTTTTAAATACTTAAACTTTTTAAAAATAGAATATAATCTCGTAGAAAAAAAGATGTTTTTCTGACTCAGGGAGGTGTAAAACGTTGAGATTTTTGAAAATCTCAATTTCGATTATTTGCACGATTACAATACTTCCTCTATACTTCGTATACGAGAAAGTAAAAAGTAAGTTGAGTTTTGATGTGAATATTTATGCAAATAATACTTTTCCTCTCTATGTTATAAACTTTCATAAACCCATCCTCTATGCTGGGTTGTAAACAACAACATAAGGTGAAGATGTTTTGGTAAAGAAAAAATCGACCAAGAAAAGCGTAAAGTCAGTTTAGACTAGACACTGTCTAAGACAGCCCTGCAAACAAACAGGAAAAGTCTCTTTAACTTTAAAAAAAATGCATTATCTATTATTAGACACCACGTCACTGCGAAATTGAAGTACCGTTTTCCAGCTTGCGAGATTTTCGTTTCGCTGGTTTTTTTTTTACTTTACAACAGCACGTATACATTTTTTAACAACGCCATGACGTGCAAAGAACAGAGGGGCAGACAACAGCACTATTTCCACGTGTCAAGTTCAAAGGCGTTCCAAGGCAGATTGACAGTTTGATCCCTTGGCTCGACCTCTGACCTTCGGTGCGGGCAATCCTTCTAAGTAGAGTTGAAAGCAATTTTTGTATCAATCTATAATTATGACTAAAAAGTCTAGATCTATCTAGGTATGTATCGTGAGTTTTTAATAAAAAAATTGTTTTATTGATGAATGAATAAAATGTGATAGTCGATGAATTACTTTTACTATATACTGATGCCAAGCAATGCATTATTACTGAAGGATCAGATAATCGATTTTCTTTATTCTGAAGTGGAGAAAAATGTAGCTTTGATGCTAAAAAATCAACCGCATTTATTGTTTGACATGGCATACAAGGGGATTGTATTGACAATTTTTAATGTTTATCCGACACTCCACACTCCCAACACGCGCCAAGTACTATTTAGGGCTGAGTCGGCTCAGCGGTGCCATAATTAACTCAAGAATGTCGGCAGCTATTTGAACACATAACTCGACAATCATGCGCTTTCCTGCAATAGGTTTAGAAACTTCTGAGGAGTGGGGTGGGGGCACTTAAAATTTATGGGGGGTGGGTGGGGTAGGTTGGGGGGGGGGAGACAACGACGCTGGTTAAAGTACTTCTAGCTAAATTATATAATTTCCGTCCGCGGTGTAGACGAGACGGTGGGACGTTTTCCAGAGTGGATGGGTGGGGAAGGGGGGTGGGGGAGGGGAGTTGCGCTAAAAAAACTCGAGGACGCAATGTTGTGGTGTCACAAGGTGGGATAAAACTCTATGCGGGTCGGGATCTCTTTTAATTGTGCTACGAGGGTGAGGGGGGCTGTTGCGAGAAAGTGGAGGGGGTAGGACAATGGTAAACTCAGGTTTACGGACGCCTCACCCCATCCTTTTCTGTCGTTGAGATAACTTAAGCTCAGAATACATAAGCAATTCTAAAACGAATTAGCATTGGTTAATACCTAATAACTGCAAGATGGGGATCTATGGCAACTTCAACTCCTCCCCCGTTTTTCTAGAATTTGTTTTCAAATGTGCATGAGAAGATACGAATTCAAAGTTATAACTTCACCCCCCCCCCCCCCCGTCAGGTGTTAACCCAAAAATAATTTACATCTAAGGGCATGGCGCCAAATTACAAATTACGACTTCAAACCGTCTCTAACCAGAGGACATGCGTTAACCGGCGGGTGTGTGGGTGGGGGGGGGGGGTGGCTGTGTTCCGACAGTGCCCCCTCCCCGAAGAGGTGCCTGAAAGAAACTGTGCGCAGGGTCCCACTATTTTCAAGCCATTTATTTTAGAGATACGCCTACTACATCGCAGATTTTTTTTTAGTAAGGATAAGCAGGTTTCTTTTGCAGATCAGTCGTTAGTAAGCGATACCGCGCAAAAGTGAGTTAATGTATAACGAGCCGACCCGCTGCGTATCATACGCCGCTATTTAGTTGTTTTTTTTTTCTACTTTTCAGTAATTTATAATTTGTGAATTTGACAGTACCAATGCTGCCACTGAAAATATTTGCTTAAAAACACTAAACCCCCCTCCCCCCACGTGAAAGCAGCCTCCTCTTAGTTACCTCCTGTAAGTTTAAAAATCGTTTCAAACTAAATTATCTGCCCCTAATAGCCGTCACCAAACCCGTCTCTATGATTGTAAAATGTAAACAGCGTGACCACAGCTCACCAGACAATGTGGGGGTGGGGTGGGGGTGGTAGTGATAGTGATAGTGATAGGGAGAAAGAGAGGGGACTGCAAGGAGGCGCTTGCAGCTCTAACGGCTCCCAGAAGAGAATTATATATATATAGATTATGCTGATCATTTGTTGCAGTGTTTCTTCCAGACTTTTTTCTCCGGGGGGGGGGGGGCACTTGAAATTATCGGAGGGGGGGGGGGCGGTACACTTTCTTCGGGGGGGGGGGGGGCGGACACTGTTAAAAGTATACATTTTCTATATAAATTATATTAATTTCATTTCGTTCGGGGGTGGGGGGGGGGGCGGTAAAAAAAATTCGGGGGGGGGGGGGGGCGAAGCCCCCGCGAAGAGATTTCTGGAATAAACTCTGGTTCCTTGCAGTCTACCTACAGCTGATCTTGCTGTACCGGCTGCGACGAAAATAAAAAGCAGGGATACCAGATTGGCAACTTGGCTAACATTTCCATAGCATTTCTACGTCACAAATTAGGGGGAAATCAGTACATATCTAAAAATCATTGATCTACATAAATTAAATCATTGCTATAATAGTTTTTACTCTTAAATAGTAGGCAACATTACACGGTTAATCTTTAGATCTAATTGAAATATAAAAACCTAAATCGTAACATTTTAACGTCTATATGTAAGACATTTATCTGGTAACATTAAACATTTCGGTATGTTTTTTTCTCTGCAAGTAGACTAGTCTAAATCTACTGCAAAGTAGAAACAACCATGGCTGATCGAGAATGTATAAATGTAAAAGTGGGAATCTTAACAGGTAACTGTCCCTAATGCATTTAACATTGTTATTTCTAAACAGGTCTTGAGTGAGATTGAGATACAATTAAAAACCGAATGATTAGGAGCAGCCCTAGTGCCTACGCTGCACTTAAAATCAGTCTAACTAAAAAAGCAGATGATTTCTCAGTTCTGAGTTACCCCCCTCCCCCTTGACAATGATGAAGGATTCTAGATCTAATTTTTATTATTTGATTTTGTTATTGGGCCCAGTTGATTCCCTCTTAGTTAGTATGTAGGCATAAACAATCTAAATTTAGTTATTCTGCAGTAGTTAGTTTTAGTAGGTTTAGGCCTTAGTCCTAGGGTGTGGGGAAATTGCGAGACGCGAAAAGCGAAATGGCGAGGCGGGAAAATGCGAGAAGGGCGCGAAAACGGTCGGTCACGTGACTTTTTTGTCTCGCATTTTACCACAAGCCGATACTTACGCTGGGTGGTGTTGAAATGCGAAGAGTTCTGCGAAAAATTTACCGCACCCGATTTTCAGTGGTATTTGGTCCAGACTTCAAAGACGTTTCGTTTACATTGTTAAAACTTCCGATTTTTCCGTCGCTAGACATACTGATGATTTGTCAACTCCCCCCCCCCCCCATCTTTTGTGTCGACTTAGAATACCACCTTGTTCGAAACCGACGGAAATACCGCCGACGATAGATCAACTTCTGTCTTTTGTGTGGAACGCCGAGGCCGCCTGATTTACAGTCTTTGAAGATCGCCGTGCCCGGATCCGCTGCCGCCGCAAACATATTTTCTATTGTTGCATAGAAATTTTGTATTATAGTCACAGCCTACGATTTTTTTCTAGCTTTTTTTTACCATGTAAATCTAAGCACAAGGAAATGCCTACATCATTTGGATACAACAAAATAAAGTGACGTCACCGATATTATCAGTTGCTCGTGCTATATCGTAAGCTATGGGCTTACTTCAAATATTTTTAAAACCAAGTTGAACTTATCTGAATTTTTTGGTTTTGGTGGTGGTGTTATTTGGGGGTCTTCCATAAATGACGTCACACTATAAAAAAGCAATGTTAGAAAAAGAATTTTAGACGTTTTTTTCGCGTTTTAGAAAACTGTTTTAATACATTGTAATAGGAATTGATTAAAATACTCTATTTTGACCGAAATTAGACAAGATTTTGGGAAAATATCGATGTTTTAAAAAAAACTCAACTGCTGGTGAGCAAGACATTGCCAAAATTACAGAAATGATAAAAAATACAAATTATAAAAAACGGAAAACAGATGTTGAGCGAGCGGATGATGATGATGAGAACATGGGTGCCAGTGTTGTTTGTGGGATGAACGAGGAGGTCAACTGTGATGAGAATGTGAAATGTTGTGAATGTGGATTGGAAGAAGTAGCAAAAGAAAAATGTATAAATGGAAGTCTAATGAACTGGGTTGGGTGTACTATGTGTGAAAGATGGTGTCACGAGGTGTGTTTGAGGACTGTTTCAGAAGATTTTGTTTGTAAATTTTGTTTGTTATTAAAATTACTTAATAAAAAAAATTGCACTTTTTAGAATTGTTTATACTTTTACACTTTTTGCAAGTACAAAAATCCATAAATAGATGTTGCAAAATATCTCTCCTGCTGACAAGATTATACCAATTCACAATGGTTTGTATAAACATGAGCGGGCTAGATTTTTAAATTAATGCCGACTGAGACGGGATTTTCCTCTCGCTAACAAGAGCGGGCGATGACATTAGCACAGCAACGATGTTAGGATTTTTACATAGATAGATCTAAATATAGATCTATCTTCTTAGTATCTAGATAAAAAATAACAACATACAACACTCGTGTTAAAGGGTATGGCTAAATGCTTGTTTATTTTAAAACAAAAAAAAATAATGTAAATAAATAAAGATGGAAAAAAAGGGAAAAAACTTTTTTCGCAAAAAGTGTCTCGCTATTTACCCTTAATTCCGCAGGTATGTCTCGCATTACCTTCTCGCATTTTCCCGCCTCGCCATTTCGCTTTTCGCGTCTCGCAATTTCCCCACACCCTTAGTCCTAAGAGCCTAAGGCTAAGAGTTAAGACAGCAACTAAATATTTGCAATACTCTAGGGCCTCAGATATTACTTTATTAGATAGAGACGACATGCCTATGGTATGGCTAATGCCCACAGTTCATAGATCTAGTTATAGGACTACTGTTACTGTTAGGTTATGTCGCTCTAATTATACTAAACTAGATGAGGCCTACTTAGAATCTTGTTACTAAATCTACTTACTTAGCCTACACTTCATAGCCTTTTTTTTAAAAATTAAATTATAGGGCCTAGATTACATTTTTACTACATTTAGTTCAGCCTACATCTACTCTCTGAATAACTACTGCTGTTACTTTAAAATTTAAGATTACTGTAGGTAAAGTGTAGACTTAGTTTAGCTAGTGGCCTCAGCTCATTGTCATTGTAATTGTAATAAGTAGATCATCAAAAGCAGGCCTGGCGCTTGCAGGTGCTAAGAGAACTTCCTTTACTGTAATCAATTGATTGTAGGCCTATATTTGTAATGATTTTTTCCTCTGCTACACCCCCTGGCTTGTCAAAAACAAAAAACGACCTCTGCCCAAAAATTTACTAAAATGAGCCATACTTCAGCGGTTAACTTAAATTGAGTCAAGATAGTTATTTAAGCCCCAACAACCATAGTTATTAGTTATGATTTTGAGATATTTTAAATATTCACTCCAGAAACTTAACCTTCAACCTTGCATCTGCACAATCGACTACCCTACCTAATTTTCTTATAAACTACTTACTTTTTATTTAATGTTCATATTTTCAGTCAGTGACTCCTGTTACTCAGGACTGGCGACTGACCATAGTGGGGAAAATCTCAAACATCTTGTCGAGTCAGGAAAGTAGTAAGTCTTGAGATTATCTTCTTCCTTGTTCTTAATTCTTAGTGTTGGAATGGATCAAGCCTTATCTGCCAGAGGGTTTGAACTCGAGACATATTTTTTTTGAATTTATCAACCATGAGCTTTTGCCGACTCGACCACGCCTCCATCACAATTAAGGATACGTGTCAACTGTTTATGTGCCATTGAGGCCATTGACTCAGATTTCAGCCTGCTTTTTTTTTTGGAATTGCTTCCATAGCCTTTGTCCAACCAAGAACAAACTACAAGGCAGCAGTTGTTTGATTTTTAGGAGTTGTCTCTAATAGAAGAGTGGCTGTCAACAGCTAACAAGCCTCATCTGCCCGAGTTGAGATTATCAATTTCTCTTAAGCCATCCACAAGTGGCCTATATGAAAATTGTATATCTAGGCCCTATAGATCCACTTTTGATCAAGTTATAAGGCTATAAATATTAATTTAGTGAATCTTGTGAAACTTGATTTTTCATATTTTATGTAATTTTTTTACAGCTTTAGAGGAACAGTGGTGACTAAAGACATTATTCCTGATGAATATGATCAAATTAAGGTTTGTTACACTTTATATTGATTACCAATGTCAAAGTGGACTTCAATTAATTTACCTAACTAAACAATACTAGCTTAATTAGGGAGGGTGGACATACAAGTTAATTTGTAAGAGCTAACATAGGGAATCACTTTAAGATAAGACCTTTGCGGTTCTTAATTTTAATATAAATTTGAATTATTTAACTTCTCAGGCCAAGCTGCTACATTGGAGTGACCATCTTAAACTTGATCTTATCCTGACCACAGGGGGCACAGGGTTCTCATCAAGGGACGTTACTCCTGAAGTGAGATTTTTTATTTTTGTTTGTGACAGAAAGCGTTGTGACTCCTGAAAATAGTACAGTGGTCCCTAGATATACAAATTTATTGCACTCCTTAAACTTTGCAATTTTCGACATTAAAATTAAATCTACTCCCTTGTGTTGCAAATTTTTCTTGTAGGTTAAAGTAAAACATCATTTGTTCAGCTGCTCTAAATGTAAAAAATCTTGTATTTTAGAACACTTTTATCTCAAGATGCCACTGATTAATATTTGTTACAACTCAAACTTATTTGCTTTTCTTTGTTGATGTTGCTGCTACAAGTTTAATGGACCAACAGAATTTTTTTTTCCACTTTGTGTAGATACTGCAGTGCTTAAATATACTGTTTTTTTTTAGAAATTATTTTTTATTTCATTGTAAGTTAATATTATAAGATTCTAAGCATACTTTAATTATTGTTTTTATTTTACCATAAATAATTTGTTTGATTGTTTTAATTGCTATTTATAGGCTACCAAATCTGTGATTGAAAAAGAGGCTTTAGGAATGGCAATTGCTATGCTACAAGGATCTTTGGAGATTACCCCTTTGGCTATGCTTACAAGGTATTCATGTGTCCATACTTCAGATCTAAATATATATTCAGCTGATGCTAGAAACATTATTAAATATTTCTATGTTATCTCACATAGTATTCCCTGTTAGTTTCCCTAAGTGTTGTTAGTTAGGAAATGAGGAGGGCCGTTTGATTGTTGCAGTCTCATAGATTAAACAGAACCAGCTTTTACTGCATAAACATTTATCATGGTCAGGTTTCTATTCCTATTCTATTGTCATTTCTCTATCACCTTCAGCTTGCACACATCTCTAAACCAGATGTTTCATGAATTGTCTCATACTGATGATTAGGAATTCCATTTCATCAGATAGTATCTTAAATTGGTGACAATGCCGTGATTCTCATAAAATTAAAACAGTTGCTAGAAAACTTTGAAGCCTCTGATGAATTAAAGTTCCAAGACGTGGCAAAAAAAAAAATGTTAATATTTCTTACTGTGAAGAAAACATAGCACACAAGTATGATTATACTGCAGAACTGGTAGTGTCAGCAGCTATCATAATGAAAGCTTCCTTTGCTTCCTAGTATGGATATCAAATGTTGGCAGGCTTAGATCAACACAAAATTTCTAGTCTGCATCTAAATGCATTAGGCCAATTTGAGACAGATCATAAGGTATGAAGCCATAACCTAGCTTTGATAGTTTGATCTGAACCCAAGTTTTTTTCTGTCTTCGCTAATCAGCATGATCTTCAAAGTAGTAAGATATTCTATTTCTGCATTAGTGATAGTAAAAATGACAGGGTTTTTTGTTTTTTTAAGGTTTGGATTTATTTAAATATATTTATATTTAGTAGAGAATCCAATTTTTATTACAGTTTAGACAATGTAGCATAGGTAATTTCTACTTAAGTCTACCAAAGTGTTTTTTTTCTTGTTATACATTGTTTTGTTCTGTCGTTATGTTTGCTAGTGTCTTTGTTTCTTATCTTCTTATTATGAATTTACTATCTTCAGTGTGTGATGTTTTAGTGGCATGTGTAATGTAAATGTTTAGTTCTTCACAATAAATTTTTTGCTTTTGCATAAAATACTTTTTATAACTTATTGGACATGACCTGTCTTTTGTGTGATCTCAATATTTTACTTATGTATGGGGAACAAAGTGTTTAAGCAATGTTTTGACATATAGAACTCAAACTTACTAGGAGCATAATAATTTAATTTACTTTATCTGCCCTATGAATTGTTAGGTCTGAAAGGGGAACTTTACTCATACTTAATCTTAACATTTAAAATTTACTTTTTGTTTCAGAAGGGTTCTCAATACTTGGCATAGTCAAAAACATTTGTTTTGTTGTTGTATGCCAATATAGTTCAGGACAAAAAAATAATTTTTTGGTTTCTTTTATCCCATTATTTTCTACAGGCTTATTTGTGGCATTCGTGGCAAGACCCTGATCATCAATTTACCTGGCAGTATGAAAGGATCTTCTGTAAGTTTTTACTTCTACATCTTTACTAGGTTTAACTCTTCTGTAAATTTTTACTTCTACATCTTTACTAGGGTAAACTATTTACAATACTAGTTGTCAGCAATGGATGATCAATATTATCTGATTATCATCTTTTTCCAATTTTACCCAAGACACATTGGGCCAGATGAAGTAGAGTGTTTCTGTTTCAGAGACCTCGGAATATGAAAGGATAGTGTGGTCAGCACTATGCTCAGTCTGCTTTATTTCTGTAGTGTGAGTTAGGTACCCATCAGAGCTGTGTGGGCTCAGGGATTTTCTACTGACGTGAACCCTAATTCAGAATCAAGACTTTTGTGTTAACAGTCTAGCTCTCTACCGCTAAGCCAAGCCGTTCCATGATAATAAATGATAAATCTTTATGAATAAAAGTAAGGTCTGTTCCTGTAGCTGCTGCATTCAAAAAGATTTTATAATCAGCTATTGTTTTTTTTTATGCTTATTACACCATGAGAGCCAGACCACTAAGTTACTTTAAAACTGTATCAAACAAAGTCCATGTCATCAAATTTTATTTTATTACAGGAGTGTTTGCACATTGCATCAGTGGGGATTCCCCACGCAGTAGACCTGCTGCGTGGCCACAAGTCCAGTGTGGAGAAAACCCACACAGCCTTGCAGGCGGAGGGCATCAAATCATCCCACGGGACTCATCACTCCCAACATAAGGTACGTGCTGTGTGAGCCATGCATGGCTTTGTTTGTTTGCATGGGCTTGATGACCCTTAAATTTAAGTTTTAATAGTGACGCTGTTTAAAAATTAAAATAGTTTAAGCTAAAAAATTGAATTGTTGTTTTGGACTTCCTGACTGACAATTAATCATTTAGTCAACAATGAATCAAGTCTGGTCTATAAATCTATAGATATTTAGAAATTCTGATTCTCATAAAAAGGCTAATTAGGACAATAAAGTACTGTTAGTTCTGTTAAGAGTTAGTGCCAGGCCTAAGGTTAGGAGTAAATTTTAGAATTTTGGTTATTATAAGTCTGTGGGCAGGTTTATGGTTAGAGTATTGATAATAGTAAAAGTGTCTAGAATGTCCTGGCAACATTTTAACCAGTGTAGTTAGCATCAAACTTCAACATCAGTTATGTCTAAAAAAAAAACATGCAATCAGAGTACTTAGCTCTAGTCACATGCAAACCAGTTGTGGAGAGATTTATTTATTTAGGCTCCTATAGCTAGACTAGATGTTTCCATAGCATGTTGTTTCTTTGATGTAAGCTACATAGTGCCTGAGTAAATGAGTGTGGATTGAAGTGATTTTGCTTTAATTAGAATGTTTAATTTAATTGTTTTACTGTGTTATGCCATTATTATGAATTAAACTGCTTATATTTTTAAAAAATGTTTTTTCTTGAATTTATTGTTCTGTGAATTTTGTGCGTTTCTTCTGAATGAACTTGAAAAGTGAAAGAAGAGGGTGTAAGCTATAAACATATTAATTGTTTATATGTGACAGAAAAAATTCACATTATATATTAAACATTACATTCATTAGACATTAGCATGGTGTGTGATTCTGTTTTGAGCCACATCATCACACACTTACCAGCACTGAATAAAATTTGATACTGATGATAACATACCCCAAAAATGTAGCATATTTCAGTTTTCTATTATTTTTAAAAAAGATTTTTTTATTAAAGTAACTATCTAAATGAGGGTTAGTCTTTTTAAATCTACGACCCGCGGCGTATCACATGCCGCAATTTAGTTTTATTTTCTACTTTTCAGTAATTTATAATTTGTGAATTTGACAATACCAATGCTGTCACTGAAAATATTTGCTTTAAAACACTAAAACCCTCCTCCCCCCCCCCCCCCCGTGAAAGCAGCCTCCTCTTAGTTACCTCCCCTAAGTTTAAAATAGTTTCAAACTAAATTATCTGCCCCTAATAGGCGTCACTTAACCCGGCTCTACGATTGTAAACATTTAGCGTGAACCACAGCTCAACAGACCATGTGGGGGTGGGGGTGGTTGCAATATGCCTAGAGTCGAAGAGAGGGGAACGCTAGGCGCGCATACAGCTTGTTTTCTAACGTCTCCAAGAAAATTATATATATATATATATAGATATTTGTAAGTAAGTTATTATTTCAATTTACATTAATTTCATATTATATGTGATTTTTTTACTTCAATTATTCAATTAAATTAATAATGACTAGTAAGTTTTCGCCTACAAATCATTTTATCGTTTTTTACATTTTTACAAAACAAGTTCCTTTTCTGTTCCTTAGTGATATAATACTGCGTTGTGCATCTATTTTAATTATAAGCTTCTTTTTTTTTAATGGTTTCTACAAAGTGAGTAGGCTGTAGAATAGAATTCAATGATCAGCCTCATAGAATCAAGAAATATTGAAATTTTGGAAAAAATGGACTATCAAATAAATTAATAAATAACAAATCCCACTTTTTGCAGTAAGCTAGTTGATGGGGACCAATGTAGGTGTTAATTGCACTAAATTTATACTTATAAAATATGCTATGACAGCATATCCATCAATTCTAATAAACTAGTGTTCAGAACACTATAGTTCCAACAATGCTTAATCTTCATCCATTCAAATTTTAAGCACCAACATATAATATTTTTTTAAATCAAACTTTCTCTGTAAGGATATAAAAAAGAACTATTTCGAACATACATATATCTATATAAATATATATATATATATATATATATATTTTATAGATATATAGATATCTATATATAAGAAGTTCCATATTCCATTGAGGACAAATTTGGTGAAAGCATGATTCTAATACAAGCCAGTTTGCTTCTTCCAATGTAACCAAGCCAGTTTAACAGCATGTAAGTAGGTCTGTTTAAGGCATGCTATCAATTTAAACACTTTAGTAAGCTACGTTCCACACAGTATGTCAGTGGTGCTGCACTTAACGAATGTGTGACAATTTTTGGGGTTTGCCTGTATGAACTGCAGCATTAGTACAAATAATTAGGGTTGTTTTTTTTTTAAAATTAATTAGATTTAGATTATAACAATGTATATTCTCCTTATAAGAGTGTAGCAGATTTAAAAAAAAAAAAGAAAATTTTAACAGATTTTTGCATTTTTTTTGCAAAGTATGTAAAAGTATGTAATTTTTTTTTCTTCAAGTTTTGAATAAGAAGTATGTGTGGCATCACTGCATTTAATTTAAAAATAAATAAAGTTTTATCTAAAAACTTAGACGACATCAAATAGAATTCTCTCTTGCTTCATGCTGCTCTCACTAGATGTGAACTTTGTCTTCTCCAGCTGCTCACAAACTTGCACGTCTTAGACGGAGCTCTGTCTGATGAGGCAGCATCTCATCTGCAGGACATTGAAAGCGTCATCGACACCGACGAAAGACAGAGCGACGCCCTGAAAAACCTGCACTTTCTCGGCTCAGCCCCGCCTAGGAACACCGTCTTCCCACAGCAGGTGAAGCCTGTGAGAAGTCTGACCACAGACGACGACTCTTCTAGCTTATCATCTGCCATCCAGCTTTGGAAAACTCTACTCTCCCTGCCGGAAGAAACGAGACAGACTTTAATCAGCTCTATTGGTAGCTTATCCTCGCTGTCTTCATCAGATTCAGTTTTTAATCCACCGCAGGCATCTGGGTGTACGGTTTACTCTAATGACAATCAAACCGAAGCAGACTCCGAGAATTATACATACACTTCACCGTTCACGAATGACATACAAACAAACCAAGCTTCGACCAAAAATGTCCCGGCCGAATCAACAACTAGTTTGTATTCCTACCTCCATTCTCTACAAAATTCTTCAGCTGGCCCTACCAACGTGCAGGTTGTCCGACCGCAGATAATGCATTCAGCGACGCATCCGTCATCCTCTTATTCCTCCGTTGTGCAAAATACCGAAACAGCTAACAGTGCTTCGTCTTTAAATATCCCAAATTTAAGACCTTACTACTTACTGTCAGGTAACTTATCCTCTGGGGATCAAGCTATGAAGCTGCCTGTCATCTCAGCTCAAGACCTGATGTCCACGTCTTCCACATTTCACCAATCCGTGACCAAACTTCTGCCTAATGTGCACACACAGGCATCAGCAACAAGCTATTTCAATCAGAATGTGATTCCTGCGACTTCCCATAATGCTTCAACACATTCTTCATCTCCAAGTTATTTCAGCCAGAGCTGGAAACCTGAATTGTCCCATAATTCATCACCCCAATCTGCATTATCCACAAATTACTTAAATCACAATTGGAAACATGCATCCCATAATTCTCCTTCGCATTCTGATCAGTCTAACTTGACTAGTACTGAACAAAGTGAAACAATCAGGTTTGGTCAAGAGCCGAAAAGTGAAGACGAGGAAGATTTTGATTACAAGGTTTTCCCTGACTACGACACCTCTGTGAAGGCCGCGGCCAACGTCATCTCCACCAGGGAGATCAAGCCGGTCACAGAGTCCACCGACACGCCCGTCGTCCAGATCTTCCTGCCCTGCTCCAAGCACTCCAACCCAGGTGAGGAGAACGCCGCTGTCAGTTACCATGGCAACCACAACCAGGGGATGAATGTTTTCCAGAGTTTGGGTCAAGCCGGGATGGAGGACGAGGTCAGTGTAGTTGACGGAAGCTCTGAATCTTACCACTACTTTTCTCTGGACAAAGCAGAGGGGACTGAGGAAGTGGATGTTTCTGTGGAAGACAGCGAATCATCACTGTTAGAGCCAGTGGTCAGTTACCAGATGGAAACGTATGCGAGCCCCCAGGGTTTTGATGTCACTGACGACACACACAGCGCTTACCAGAATGCTGACATGACGAGCGATGACGACAACTCTGACGTGTCCGAGCACAGTCAGCCAATGTATGAGAACACGACCTGGGATGAGAACGGTTTGAGAACCCCAGACAACCAAGAGAATCGTGCCTCTGACAACATTAGTTTGAACAGAAATAGCCCTGGAGTTAGTCAACGTCTGGACAATGTCGACCCTACAACCAGTTCTGTGACAAACTTTTCTAATCACTTTGCTGAAAAATTTCCTTCGCATTTGACGAAATCATCTGAGCCTTCTGTTAAAACAATCAAATGTGCAAAAATTCACAGCTTAAAAAGCCAAGGTCAGCTTCTGTATGTTCCTGTAGGATCTGCGTTGAAGTCGTTCATCAACGAGCACCCTCTAATCCAGGGCATTTACCTGCATAAAGGTAAGAGAGAGATCAAGAAACAGCTGGCGCAGCTATGTCGACAGAACGATCAAGGGGACAAGATGACCTCGTGGAGGAGAGGCAAGGAGATCCTGGAGAGGAATCGCTTCGATGATTTCTTTGAGCTGACGGAGGAAGGGAAGAAGGAGCAGGAGGAGGTGGGGGCAGCGAGGAAGAGAGACCAGTACGTGGTCAACTGGTACGTCTGGTGCCCGGGCCACAGCAACTGTAAGAGGAAGTGTGGAGGCTTTGGGGTCTGTCTAGAAAGTAAGTTTTAGAGAAGCCTTTATTTTGTTTTTTAAAAGTTTATAATAACAGATCTTTTCCCTTTTGTGCCCAGGGAACGGGGCACAAAAATTGTTCATGTATTCAACAATGATAGTTGGGATAGTGTGGTCAGCTCTATGTCACCTGTATTGGTTTCCCTAACATGAGTCAAGTACATATGTTGTACAGACTCATGCCCTGATCTGAACTCAAGACTTTCAGTTTAGCAGTTGTGAACTCTACAATCTGACCATGCTGCCCCTAATACCAGGCTTTTAAATTATCTAAATTTGTTTTCCATTCAACTTGTCAGTTAAAACAAAAAACAGGACTCCAATTTCAAATTTCTAAGTATCAATATATCAATTATATCAGTAATTTACTTCAAAGATTTCCTTTTCTGTACAGTAGAAATGTTAATAAAATTGTTTGAAAATGCCAAACAATTACATTAGCTGAATAATTTTACTATTATTTGGATGTCAGTGTTTTCTGTAATAAAAAAGTTATTACAGCTATATATGTGCTATATATGTATTTAAATGTAAATATATTTGCTCTCAAGATGTAGAGGCATGCTCAATAAACAATGTATTCTATGTTAAAAAGTTAATTTAACAGTGTATTAATTAAAATGATGTCAATTTATTCCCAGAATGTAAAGGCATGCTCCACAAACAAGACAGGCACAACTGCAGCCTGATGATCAACATGAAGCTGTTTCTCAGCGACCTTTCAACCTGGAGGGTCAACATCACCGGCTCCCACATCCCCCCTGGGTCAGCTGTTGTCTGGGTGCCCCCCGCCCTCTACACTGTCCAGACCAGTGTCAGTAAACCCAAAGATCAACCCACCCCCCACAAAACCCACAGCAAATCTTCTCCAAAGAGAAACTCACCCAAGAAATCCGCTAATTCTTCGGAGCCTGGAGATGGGAAAAGTTCCCCAAGTAAAAGTAAATTTAGACTTGATTTTGATCTTCCCAAAGAGGCAGCTTCTTCCATACCTTCTAAAAAACGCATTTCAAAAATGCTTTCTAGTTTGAAAAGGCGCAGAGAGGAGAGGCAGTCTACCCAGAGGCACCACAATTCAAAAAGTCAAGTCTGTGTATCAAATCATACCAAAGCAAAAGAAAACACAGAAGACAATGTTGTGGAACTTGCCAGCCTAACATCAAGCAGCACTTGTGATACTCAGATAATTTGCTCAACAACACAGTCTTCCGACCTGACCCAGAATATGTTCATCAACCAAAATCTGATGGCATCGTCCACCTCATTTTCTTTCAAAGATTTGGACACTTTCACCAACAGGAAAGAAAATTGTAAAAAGTCTAAGAGGAAATTTCTGTCCCAGAGTTTGATGAACTTGTTGGGGTCCTCACAGTTGGATAAACTTCCATCCTTATCCAGTAGTGATGTGAACAGTCATCCATTCATATCCGTTAGCGATGTAAACAATCATCCATCCTCATCCAGGAGTGAAGTGTGTGTGGATTTGGAGCATCCGCAGCCAAAGTTCATGCTGCAGTCCACCTGTGATGTACCCCAAGGACAACCTACATCATCAATCTCTGGAGCTCCTTCAGTAGTTTCCATAATGCTTGAACCACCAGACACACCTCCCCCACACATCCCATCTATCCACACCTCCCACCCTGCTCTGTATGACGCCAAACTCACCTGGCCCCAAGAAAGCTGCGGTAGTGTTTCTCTTGTTGATGCCAGCTCCTGTGTAAACTCAGACTTTGACCAGCCCTTTCTCAGTGCCAACACTCTAACAGAAATCCTACAGCAGGCCAAGAGCTGCACTGAACAAGACAATCTTCAACAGCTGAACCAGTTTCCTGATGACAAAGTACCGGAGGCAAACTCAGCCGAAACCAGTACCCATCATGTCTCACAAGTCTTATTAGAAACAAGAACCGGGCTTCCGAACGATCTTCTACCTTCTGAAAATGTACACAACGACCCATCCAATTATCTTTCAAACTTACCGCTTCAGTCGTCAAGCACCCATGAAGATTACCCACCCCTGTCCCCATCAGAATCCAGCAGAAAGTCTGCCGCCATCGCCTCCATTATCCGCTCTCTCTGCAGCACCTCTGAGAACTTTGAGCACGAGAGCTTCCACCACTCACCAGGCTCCGGGATGGATTTACCCGAGGCCCATCACGCAGCCACTATAGACGATCACACAGCCACCATAGAGGATCACACAGAATCTCTACCCTCCTACCAAGAGGCGGCTGCGGCTTTAGCTCAACGGCTGTGTTTGATACAACAGCTGGACACAAGACCAGACTGCCACCAATAATTTATAACTATTTATTATTATTGTATTTGTATATACGTGCCGACCCATACCAAATTAATATTTTTAACACTTTTATATTTTTATAATAAAAACCTAACAGTATTTATTTTGTACAATTTAAAATTTTTTATATCAAACTTGTGATGTACATACTATTTATTTAAACAATTTTATTGCCTCACCAAAAAAAATTGTGTCAATAGTTTATAATAGATGTTGATGTAGTTTGTGTGGCTGCTTATTAACTAGTATTCAACAATACTGGTACTGTGTAAGGTTGTTTATGAGCTGGTTATACAATACATTTAACCCAATCTTGTGGCTTTACAATATTCACTGCAGAACTAGTGTGATAATATTTAAGTTGAATTCTGCATTAAGATGTTCTGAGTATGATAGAATTAGACTAGTATGATCATGAAAATGTTCTAGAAGATTGCTATAGGTGTAAGTGATATGAAGCTGTCAGTTCCTTTGTTTTATGTTAAAAAAAATAAGAGCTTTGGGATTTTAACAGCACTCATCAAACCATGAGCATGCTCATAATAAAGAAAGGCATGATGGCAATTCTCCGAGTCATGAACGGCCCCACAGTAAAGATGGCCACGAACATCCCCAGACCAAAGAGATGCATGAAGCAGTGAGGTCTGGTCCAGGCTCTCCCCAACCTCACCCACCCTCCAACCCTGACAGAAACCACTCACACCACCACCACAAGCATCCCTGCAGTAAGCATTCACTTTTACTCTCAGTTTGAACACTTTTTTTCTTATTTTAACTTCATAAATATTTAGAAAGTGTAATTAAATAAGCTAACAAGTAAATTAAACACATTGTATACAAATGTGAATTTCAAATAGTTTTAAAGTTAACAGAAAAAAACATAACATTCTTTTTAATTTAAAAAAAACAAATCAGTTTTAAATTTTTACCTACTGTCACTTTTCTTGACATATTTTGTGTACAGTATTTCTTTGGTTGTTTTCTTTAGTTATTTACAGACAGACTAACTTTGCCAATAATTATATAGGACATATAAATATAAATAAATATATATATATATATATATATATATATATATATATATATATATATATTTATATATTTATATATATATATCTATATATATAATTCTCTTCTTCGAGCCGTTAGAAAACAAGCTGCAAACGCTCTCCCTACCTCCCCACCCCTACATGGTTTTAGTGAGCTGTGTTCACTCTAAATGTTTACAAGCAGAGCCAACGATTTTAAACGTAGGGGGGGGGGGGGAGGAGGGGGGGAGGGAAGGAAGGGGGGGGGGGTTATGGTCCTTAACGAGCGCTACTTATAGTGTTTTAAAGAAATATTTTCAATGGCAGCGTTGGTACTGTCGAATTCATAAATTATGAATTACTGAAAAGTAGAAAAAACAACAACTAATTAGCGGCGTATGTTATGCCGCGGGCCGGCTCGTATATATATATTTTATTTATTTATGAAACGTTTTGGGTGGCAGGGTCATATGTTCAGATTGCCAATTCTAAAGTTTTGAGTTTGGTTCCCAATGTGATTTTTATAGCTATATCTATGCTGACTAAGCTTTGATGAGTACCTTAACTGAGTCTGGGAAAGTAAAGACACCTGGGCATACTGCTGTATTTCTTCTGCCTTATTTGCCATCTGGAAAGACACCCTTGAAGAAAATAGACTACAAAAGCTACAAAAAAAAAATTTCTGTTCAGAATGTAAAAAAAAAGTTCCCTTTCCCTTTCAAACCTGATGCTCTATAGGGCAAGTGAAGTAGAGTTCACCTGTTTCTGTGACCTCGGCATATGAAGAGATAGTGTGGTCAGCACTATGCCCAACCGCCTTTACTTTCCCTAACTTGAGTTAGGTACCCATTAGAGTTGGGTGGACTCAGGGATGGTCTACTGACTTCAACCTAGATTCGAACTTGAGACTAACGGGCAAGCAACCCAGCTCTCTACGGCTAGGTCACTCCGTCCCCTGTTCAGAATGGTGTGCGTGATTTTCACTGTGTAATAAAATATCTCAAAATGCCATTTCTCCAGGTCATGTGAATGCAGATCAGGTGGCGCTCAGACCCAGAGAATCTCCTTATCCCATGATCTCTGTAGAGCAGGCTGTGGCTGTTGTGTTAGAGAACAGCCAGTCTCTCCCTGCTGAATATGTGGATATTAAAGGTATCAGTAGTTAGGCTATGTGGTATCTATAATCAAATTAACTGTACATTGGAAGTGGGTGGAATAGGGTGTGAGAACAGTCTCTCCCTGCTGAATATGTGGATATTAAAGGTATCAGTAGTTAGGCTATGTGGTATCTATAATCAAATTAACTGTACATTGGGAGTGGGTGGAATAAGGTGTGAGAACAGCCAGTCTCTCCCTGCTGAATATGTAGATATCAAAGGTAGTGTAGCAGTCTGGCTGTCTATGTGATCTCAATATAATATGTGGATATCAAAGGTATCAGCAGTTTGGCTATGTGGTCTGTATATAATAAAATTTACTGTAACACTATGAGTAGGTAGAAGTCAGTCTCTCCCTGCTGAATATGTGGATATCTAAGGTATAGCTATGTGATCTCTCTATAGTAAAATTTATTGTACAAATGGTAATGGATGGGATATGAATTGGTGAGGATGATTTCATTTTTTAAGTTAAAACAAGAATTATTGTCTTTCACATAAACTACATTATGATTCCTACAGCAAAGAAAAATCAAATTCTTCTTCTTCTTCTTCGTTCTTAATTATTAGTGTTGAAGGAGATCGAGATTTATCTGCCAGTGAGTTTGAACTCGAGACTTTTGTTCGAATTCATCAACCATGAGCTTTTTGCTGACTCGACCACGCATCCAACACAATTAAGCGTTACGTGTCAACTGGTTATGCGCCATTGAGGCCATTGACTCCGATTTCAGCCTGCTTTTCTTTTTGGATTTGCTTCCATAGCCTTTGTCCAACCAAGAACAAGCTACAAGGCAGCAGTTGTTTTAATTTTGGAGTTGTCTCCTAGAAGAGTGGTTGTCCCCAGCTAACGAGCCTCATCTGCCCGAGGGTTCGAACTCGAGACTTTTCGGTTTAGCAACCATGAGCTTTACCGACTCGACCATGCAGACCCCCTAAAAATCAAATGTTGTACATATAGGTGTCCTGTAAATCCAAATGGTCAAAGGCCCTTGCATATATTTTAATTTAAAAATTCAAAAGTTTGACTACTGACTTATGTCTTATTATTTTGTTTAAAGGACTTGTACTAGATCAGAATTCAAGTATTTTAACTACAGATAAATGTTTATATGTAGATTCTGGTACAGTAATACTTTGACCCACCTGTATACCTTGATACAGTAAACCTTTGACCCACCTGTCAGTGGCGTAGCGAGGTCTGGTGTCACCCGGTGCGGCACTTAATGGTGTCACCCCCCCCCCCCCCCAGAGGCGTAGCGACCCTTCCCGGGGACAAACTTTCAAGTTTTCGATTTGCACCCCACCCCCTCAAACTTTCGATTTGCACCCCCCCTCAAGTTTTCAATTTCCACCCCCCTCCCCCACTCAAACTTTCGATTTGCACCCCCCCTTCAAGTTTTTCTCTATATATTTTGCTATTTTTTGCCTTGGTGTCACCCCCTTAAATGGTGTCACCCGGTGCGGCCCGCACCCCCCGCCCTCCCCTTGCTACGCCCCTGCCACCTGTATACCTAATTAAACAGTAAACCTTTGTCTTGATTCAACTGTATACCTTAATACATTAAACCTTTAACTTACCCATAATATATTTGTTAATCACCAGATGCATTGGGACGTTACTTGGCCACTTCTGTACATGCAGCAGAACCCCTACCACCATTTCCTGCATCTATCAAAGATGGATATGCTGTGTTAGGTAATTTCATTTTTTTCATTAAAAAGACATTACCTGTTGAAATGGTTTTCTGACAGATTTTTTTTTTAAACAAACAAAAGCATTAAAGCTTATATCATGAAATTCAATGTTTGCAAGAATAAATGATATATAACAAAAGCCATCAAGTTGTGAAAACAGTGTGACTCAATAAGACATTAGATTGGGTTAGTTAAATGCTTCTATGGTTGTATACATCATTATGTCCTTGACTTTGTATTTCACATTTATTTTTTTTCTTGAAATATCACAAGTTCAAAACCCAATTTAGCAGGCTCCATGCTAAGACATGAGTTCATTTTAAAATGAAACTGATTTCTGAGGGTTTTTTAAAATTTGACCTCTGTTCCTTAGTAAGATTTTAATTATAACAATGTAACACTCTATAGACGAGCATATTACCTAGAATGTAATCATTTGTCTCAAAAGCTTAACATTAATAGCTGCTTAATATAGTCATAATATTTAAAAAGCCATGCTAAGTATAAAATCTCAAAAATAGTGCATGGGAGGTGATGAAGGAAATTTTTTTCCACACTATTTCATTGGATAGCTTCCCTTCCAATGTCTTAGTAAATACGTTCTTATTTACAGACTCAACACTATGATATAACTTTACTCATAGGAACAATACTTTTTATTTTTTCTCATGGGGTCAACATTTTATTTTCCCTTTTCTATAGGGTCAACACTTTATTTTCCCTTTTCTATAGGGTCAACACTTTATTTTCCCTTTTCTATAGTGTCAACACTTTATTTTCCCTTTTCTATAGTGTCAACACTTTATTTTCCCTTTTCCATAGGGTCAAAACTTTATTTTCCCTTTTCTATAGTGTCTACACTTTATTTTCCCTTTTCTATAGGGTCAACATTTTATTTTCCCTTTTCTATAGGGTCAACATTTTATTTTCCCTTTTCTATAGGGTCAACATTTTATTTTCCCTTTTCTATAGGGTCAACATTTTATTTTCCCTTTTCTATAGGGTCAACACTTTATTTTCCCTTTTCTATAAGGTCAACACTTTATTTTCCCTTTTCTATAGGGTCAACATTTTATTTTCCCTTTTCTATAGGGTCAACACTTATTATTCACTAAGCAAAGTGTGGATTGTTTAGAGCTTATGGGTAGACATATAAGACAATATACTTTAACATTTAAACTGCTTAGAACATAGTGTTAAAAGATAAATTTGCACTATATTAAATTTTTGTTAATAAATGCAAGCAATTTACATGTAAAAAAGAAAGACTAAAACACGATCTGTGCTAGATGTTGTTCTACATGTAATAAATCTCCCACAGCTGAAGATGGTGTTGGTGTCCGTATGGTGTTGGGTGAATCCTCCGCTGGTGATATGGTGAGTGGTGTTTACATAATCTCCCTTCACACAATACAGGGCAAAAGAACAAACAACTGACTCTTATGATGTCCCACCTCCTAAAGCCTGAATCCTGGGGGTGGGGATGACAAAATGAGTACCTGGGGTGGGGATGACAAAATGAGTAGGCCTACCTCTGGGTGGGGATGATAAAATGAGTACCTGGGGTGGGGATGACAAAATGAGTAGGCCTACCTCTGGGTGGGGATGACAAAATGAGTACCTGGGGTGGGGATGACAAAATGAGTACCTGGGGTGGGGATGACAAAATGAGTAGGCCTACCTCTGGGTGGGGATGACAAAATGAGTACCTGGGGTGGGGATGATAAAATGAGTTCCTGGGGGTGGGGATGACACAAAATGAGTACCTGGGGTGGGGATGACAAAATGAGTACCTGGGGTGGGGATGACACAAAATGAGTACCTGGGGTGGGGATGACACAAAATGAGTACCTGGGGTGGGGATGACAAAATGAGTACCTGGGGGTGGGGATGACAAAATGAGTACCTGGGGGTGGGGATGACAAAATGAGTACCTGGGGTGGGGATGACAAAATGAGTACCTGGGGTGGGGGATGACAAAATGAGTTCCTGGGGTGGGGATGACAAAATGAGTACCTGGGGTGGGGATGACAAAATGAGTACCTGGGGTGGGGATGACAAAATGAGTTCCTGGGGGTGGGGATGATAAAATGAGTAGGCCTACCTCTGGGTGGGGATGATAAAATGAGTACCTGGGGTGGGGATGACAAAATGAGTAGGCCTACCTCTGGGTGGGGATGATAAAATGAGTACCTGGGGTGGGGATGACAAAATGAGTTCCTGGGGGTGGGGATGACAAAATGAGTACCTGGGGTGGGGATGATAAAATGAGTAGGCCTACCTCTGGGTGGGGATGACAAAATGAGTACCTGGGGTGGGGATGATAAAATGAGTAGGCCTACCTCTGGGTGGGGATGATAAAATGAGTACCTGGGGTGGGGGATGACAAAATGAGTACCTGGGGGTGGGGATGACAAATGGGTACCTGGGGGTGGGGATGACAAAATGAGTAGGCCTACCTCTGGGTGGGGATGACAAAATGAGTACCTGGGGTGGGGATGATAAAATGAGTAGGCCTACCTCTGGGTGGGGATGATAAAATGAGTACCTGGGGTGGGGATGATAAAATGAGTAGGCCTACCTCTGGGTGGGGATGATAAAATGAGTACCTGGGGTGGGGGATGACAAAATGAGTAGGCCTACCTCTGGGTGGGGGATGATAAAATGAGTACCTGGGGTGGGGGATGACAAAATGAGTAGGCCTACCTCTGGGTGGGGATGACAAAATGAGTACCTGGGGTGGGGATGATAAAATGAGTACCTGGGGTGGGGGATGACAAAATGAGTAGGCCTACCTCTGGGTGGGGATGACAAAATGAGTACCTGGGGTGGGGGATGATAAAATGAGTACCTGGGGTGGGGGATGACAAAATGAGTACCTGGGGTGGGGATGACAAAATGAGTACCTGGGGGTGGGGATGACAAATGGGTACCTGGGGGTGGGGACCAAACAAACAACTGGGACTGTTATGATGTCCCTCCTCCCAAAGCCAGAGTTTCTGGGGGTGGGGACCAAACGAGTTCCTTAGGGTAGGGGGCCAAACAAACAACTGACTGTTACATCTCTCTCCTCCCAAAGCCAGAGTTTCTGGGGGTGGGGACGAAACCAATTCATTAGGGTAGGGGATCAAACAAACAACAAACTGTTCCGTGGCCAAAATACCTGAGATGTAAATACACTAGACAAAGCTGTTACTTCATAACTCAAACTTTCCCTGAAATACACCTTATCACATTGACATACACTCCTTTATAATTCATTTAATTTTTTTTATCTTAATCTCACTGGCCTGTCTACTTTTTCTCTTTATTCCCCATACCCCTGTTGAACCCAAGTTCATTTCTTTAAATAGACTCCTCTCTGTAATGTATCTCACTGGATGGGAATATTTTGCGCTGTGGTTTGATATACAAAGCTTCGACATTTTTAAGATACCTGCCTGTGAATCATTCTAATGTTTAAGACACATTGTTTGGTACAAATTTTTTTTATAGATAAAGCATGTAAAATTAATCACATTTTTTAATCTAATACAGCAATATTAGAATTTGTGAGATGATATATCAATTGGTTTGTCTGCTGGATTAGAGTGTTGAATTAGGTTTAAAACTAACTTTTTTCTAAACTAGTTTTTTAATGCAATGTATGTATATGTGTTTGCATACTTGATTGTTTATTTTGTCATTAATCTAGATCTAGCTGTAACTCCATTTTGTTTTGTTAAAGTCTGCATGTTTTTAAAAAAAATTCTGGGTTAGAGATTAACCAGAGATGGGTTCCGTCGCCTTTTATCTCACAAAAAAGAAACAAAAATATTTTTTTACACCTTTGTGAATCCACATAAATTTATTTTAGCATCTTCTAACCTGTTCATTAATAAGTTGTTAGAATATTTCTTTATTGGTGCTATAAAGAGGTGGGCTCCATCACCTTTTATCTCAGGGAGAGAAAAAAAATAATTTTTTAATACTGGGGATGTCTCTCAATGAGCTTCTTTTAGTATCTCCCAGCCTATTCATTAATTGGTTGTTAAAATACTTCTTTATTCCTGAGCCAGCATGTATCCCCCCTTCCACATTCTTAATTTGTTGATAGCTATCCCCCCCCCTCCCCCGTTTACTAGTATCCCACAACTCTACCACCACAACCAATCAACTTCTTCATCCCCCCACCCCAGCCCATCAATCTAGTTAAGTTTTGCCTAAACTCTACCCTCCCCCCCTCCTCAACCATCAACTTCCCCTCCCTCCCCCACCTATCAATCTTGTTCAGTCTCTTCTAACCCCCCCCCTTACTCTCCAACCCTCAACTTCTACCCCCCCCCCCCCCAACCATCAATCTAGTTAAGTCTGGCCTAACCCACCCCACCCTAAATATCTCCCCCTCCCTCATCTATCCCCTCACTCCGCCAACCCCCCCCCCCCCCCCCCCCCCTACCTCCCAACTCTCACATTATCTCCCAGCAAATGGCCTTGTGCCCAGAAGATTCCTGGTGCCAGCCAGACACAAAGTTTTATTGTCTGAGTATAACTAGCACCTGTACACACTAATACACCCTACTGGTACACAAAGTTTTATTGTCTGAGTATAACTAGCACCTGTACACACTAATACACCGTACTGGTACACAAAGTTTTATTGTCTGAGTATAACTAGCACCTGTACACACTAATACACCCTACTGGAATACAAAGTTTTATTGTCTGAGTATAACTAGCACCTGTACACACTAATACACCCTACTGGAACATAGACACAAAGTTTTTTTGTCGGAGTATAACTAGCACCTGTATACACTAATACAACCTACTGAAACACAGACACAAAGTTTTATTGTCTGAGTATAACTAGCACCTGTACACACTAATACACCCTACTGGAATACAAAGTTTTATTGTCTGAGTATAACTAGCACCTGTACACACTAATACACCCTACTGGAACACAAAGTTTTATTGTCTGAGTATAACTAGCACCTGTACACACTAATACACCCTACTGGTACACAAAGTTTTATTGTCTGAGTATAACTAGCACCTGTACACACTAATACACCCTACTGGTACACAAAGTTTTATTGTCTGAGTATAACTAGCACCTGTACACACTAATACACCCTACTGGAAAAGTTTTATTGTCTGAGTATAACTAGCACCTGTACACACTAATACACCCTACTGGTACACAGACACAAAGTTTTATTGTCTGAGTATAACTAGCACCTGTACACACTAATACACCCTACTGGTACACAGGCACAAAGTTTTATTGTCTGAGTATAACTAGCACCTGTACACACTAATACACCCTACTGGTACACAGACACAAAGTTTTATTGTCTGAGTATAACTAGCACCTGTACACACTAATACACCCTACTGGAACACAAAGTTTTATTGTCTGAGTATAACTAGCACCTGTACACGCTAATACACCCTACTGGAGCACAAAGTTTTATTGTCTGAGTATAACTAGCACCTGTACACACTAATACACCCTACTGGAGCACAAAGTTTTATTGTCTGAGTATAACTAGCACCTGTACACACTAATACACCCTACTGGAGCACAAAGTTTTATTGTCTGAGTATAACTAGCACCTGTACACTCTAATACAAAGTTTTATTGTCTGAGTATAACTAGCACCTGTACACACTAATACACCCTACTGGTACACAGACACAAAGTTTTATTGTCTGAGTATAACTAGCACCTGTACACACTAATACACCCTACTGGTACACAGACACAAAGTTTTATTGTCTAAGTATAACTAGCACCTGTACACACTAATACAAAGTTTTATTGTCTGAGTATAACTAGCACCTGTACACACTAATACACCCTACTGGTACACAAAGTTTTATTGTCTGGGTATAACTAGGACCTGTACACACTAATACACCCTACTGGTACACAAAGTTTTATTGTCTGGGTATAACTAGCACCTGTACACACTAATACACCCTACTGGAAAAGTTTTATTGTCTGAGTATAACTAGCACCTGTACACACTAATACACCCTACTGTAACACAAAGTTTTATTGTCTGAGTATAACTAGCACCTGTACACACTAATACACCTTACTGGTACACAAAGTTTTATTGTCTGAGTATAACTAGCACCTGTACACACTAATACACCCTACTGGTACACAAAGTTTTATTGTCTGAGTATAACTAGCACCTGTACACACTAATACACCCTACTGGAAAAGTTTTATTGTCTGAGTATAATTAGCACCTGTACACACTAATACAAAGTTTTATTGTCTGAGTATAACTAGCACCTGTACACACTAATACACCCTACTGGAACACAAAGTTTTATTGTCTGAGTATAACTAGCACCTGTACACACTAATACACCCTACT